TTCTGTCTGACAGTTACTTTTCACGGGAATTTTCACAAAATAATATGCAAATTTACAGTACTTTTCAGGCAAAAATTCTTCTTTTTGAACAAAAAAAAAAAACTTACAATGATAAGCTGAACCAATCGGTGTTATAAATTCACCCTAAAAAAAATAAATCTAACATGAATTTTCAAACAGAATATTGAAAATTTTAAGTAAAAAAACTGGAAAAATATGAATAAAAATGAGTGAGGATTTAAATAAAAACAGTGAAAATTTAAATAAATCAAAGAACAAGTCGCTTAAAAAAGTGTAAAACTTAAATAAATTTAATATTTTTAAAAAAATTTGATAAAATACTCCAACGGTATAAAGACTTAAATAAAAAAGGGAAAAATTTCAACAAATCAAAGAAAAAATCGCTTAAAAAGTCAAAATTTAAAAAAAATTTAATTTTTTCAAGAAAATTTAATTTAATTCTTCAAAAAATGAATTGATAAAATACTCCACTGGCATAATAATGGTGTGATCGAATTTCTCGTCCTTTACTGTATGCTGTGTTGCGTCCTCAAATTTCAGGCCTCAAAAAGAATTTCTTTTCGAGAAATGCGCGAGAATCGTAGCAGTTAGCACCTGTGATACTAATATTGCTGAAAAGTGAGTAGTTCCAGAGAAAAGAAAATAACAAATTATTCGAAACTACGCGTTGTTTTTTTCAAAAAAACGTGCAAGGTTCGATTTTTCCCCATAAGACAAACAGTCTTTCCAACCGATTCGTTCATTCGTTTCGATGGTAAATTGGTACTGACGCATGTCCGGAATAATCAGATGAACTTGTCTTGGGCGAGTAGGTGTCACACCACGGCTTTTTACGTGAGTTTCAAGGCACATGGGTTTCAGGGCAAAGGGGTGCGCGGGTTTTTTACGTGAGATGAAGCGGTACATGCAAATTCCTCACGCCCTGTCCATTATAGTACAAAAAAAAAAACTGTTCGAGCCACCTAAATCAAGTACTACTCGGCATCGCCATACGGATTTTTTCTCCGCCTAACACCTTTCACCTGTAACCATAGACGGGTCTAGAAGGGAGAGAGAGCCGGGGGGGAAGGGGCGGGGGA